TTCTGTTCTTTGGATGACCTGAACTAACACACGGCACGTTCATTTGGTAAAGACATTTTGGAAATGCATCTCACGTGTCTATTATGAAGACACAAGGCAACAAAGCACAAGAAGATAAAATCTGGTGGGTCCATCTGAGACTGCGTCTCAGTCTAGAAAACGTTACTGTGTTCTTCATGTATTTTAAAGTGCAGATTGTGAATTATTTCATGTACGTATGCCAAGAAAACGATCTTTTGAGTTGGCCGAGTTGGGGCTAATTGTACAGTCTTGTTGCACACATTACTGTTACTGATGTACAAATGAAACCTATTAAAAATCAGCTAACACATTTGTGTATCTCTGATTGTAAACATGAAGCTGTAGATTTAATGTTAATATCTGAGTGTTCATCATATACATTCATTACGTTTGGTAGAAAAACAACAGTAAAACAAATGTAATTGATATCATTCTTTGCTTGTGTGGTCGGTCGTATTGTCCATTTTGGTGGATACGTGACATTGGCACGAAAGAAATAAAAACAATGGCTAACAGGAAATGTTGGTGCTGGAGGCAGGAAACTACAGTTCTGATGACTGACTGACTGGGATGCTGTGCTGGGACGCTGCAGTGTGGCAATGAGACTCTGCATCAAGATCAAAGCCATTTTTTAAACATATGCAGGTGTTGCTTCCTGCAATATGCATTATATATGGTGCAAATATGCAGTACACACGTTTCATATGAATAGTCTTTAGCCCAGATAAATAAACATTTCAGTCACATAAAATGTGAATTTTTATGTGCTGTATAGCATATAGAATAAATAAGTAAGCCAATAAGTGAGACTTGTGTTTGTAAACCCCCCGTGTTGTGTAGCTTTCTTGGTTTTATACTTAAGTTTTTTAATTAAGGAATAATCAAATTGTTATATGCTTAAATTTACACAAAATGCAAGAACTCTGCCCTGTCATGAACCCAGTTTTTCATAATTTATTGGCTTAATAACGCACCTTCAGTTCATTTCCAGAGTGTAACAACCACCTGTGTTGAAATCTAAAAGTGCCCATGGTGTTAATTCAAGAGGGAGCTTCCTGCTGATCAGTCACATTATCCAGGACCATTAACGGAGCTTGGATTTCGGAGTCACTCATGGTGATGGACAGAGAAATAAATGAACAAACACACAGAAAAACCACACAAGACAGAGACCAATAAAGGCAGAAACGGAGCCCTGAAACACATTTACAACAGACTGACATGACTCTTAAAAGTCCCTTACGGATTTTTTTAAAAAGCAGACATATGAAGCAATAATAGGCTGATTGATGAAGCACCTTATACACCAGCGTTGCCTTCATCTGTGTTCCCACTGGCTGCCATAGACAGGTGGAGAATTTAGTTGTGCTGATGCAAGTTTGACTTGCATTTAAATACAACATTTAAATACAGTATTTGAATAAATAAAGTGAAACTAAAAATATATACATTTAATCATTTCTGATGCAAAGACAGTCATTCAGCTGGCAAACCCAATTTACTGTTCTTTTGTGTTTAATGCAGCAGTGATGCTTGGTCTGCTATTTAATGATTATGTTACGCTGACAGGTTATTAATGGAGAGAGAGCGCGAGATTGATAGACAACATCTGGCTGGATTTGAGCATCAGCCCAATCTGGCAACACTGACCCTCATTAGAAACTCAAACTTTACAAAGTGGCAACAGCAGCAAAGGTGAGTACTCGCTTCTCTGTGACTTTACCCTGGATGATGATGATGATGTACTAGTAGGTATGTCCCTATGAATATACTGACAACGGGCCTGTCCGCGGCTAATTTCGTCAATTACCGACGTTTAGGGAGCTCTCTGGTAGGCTATTGGATGACGGTACCCTGCACGCCGGTTAATGACGCGGGTAGGCACGTGGAGGGGGTTAGAGGAGAGCACGCGCATTTTTGCCACATGGGGGTTGTAGGGGAAACACAAATGAACTGGGAGACGCAGACTGATGCAACAAAACACACTAGGTAGTTGTACAGCATACACTGTAGTCTATAGCACACAGGAATATTAGGTTATTATTAGGGCTGGGTATCGTCACTGATTTCTAGAATCGATTCAATTCCGATTCACA